GAAATCTTCAACTCCCTGATTTCATTCTTTGCAGCAGCCAAGGCAACATTTTGTGCCTTGAATTCTTGGCGTAGCACTTTCAATTCCTCCAAAACCGTTTGCACAAGATTGAGAAGTTTGTTTTCAGAATCCATCATGAATCCAACTTTGCAAGATGTAACACAAGCTCAAAGTTTCAAAATGAAAACTTCTTGACAACAGCTCCGTTGGGGATGAAAATTTGCACGTATGTGCGCCCGGCCGTTGTGAACAAGTCCACCAAATCTCAGCTCCTGTTGACACTCCAGCAAGAAGATATGGCCCCCGCAAGATTCATGCTCAAATCCCTAAACTCAAAGTTTCGAAATGAAAACTTCTTGACAGCAGCTCCGTTGGGGCTGAAAATTTGCAGGTATGTGCGCCCGGCCGTCGTGAACAAGCCCACCAAATCTCAAATCACCAAATCTCACTTTTGCAAGCTCCTTCCTCCTTGCTTCAACTTGAAGAGGTGTAAGATCTGGATCTAACCAAATCCTCCGTCCCTTGAGAATGTCCTTCCTTGTTTATAGCTTTCCTTCATATGAGCCTTCCTTGTTTCCATCTTGGATATTTTCAATATATAGCATTAATATTAGAGAAAACGCATGCAATTGGATAGGTTACATCTGCAACATGCTCAACGCGGACTAGTAAAATTGCAATTTATTATGTGTTGAAGTCCTACCTCATAATTTTATACATCAAAATTCAATGCTTTCCATGACCAAAATAGTACTTTCACATCGATTAAATTTGTTACTATAGTTGCTCTTACATGAAGTTTCATTTCAATTTTGTGAAAATTATTCATTACATTAATTCAAATGATTTAAATTCTACTTCATTTAGTCTTTGTTTTCTCAATTTCCAAGTTGTTTGCCAATTATTATATATGTATGGACCACATTGAAGTTTTATTCTCAACCACTTGGTCTTCTGTACAAATCACGGTGCTATCTTTTTGCATGGATGAACCTTTGAAAAAAGTGAGTTTTCCAATAATAATACCAATGCATTAGCATTGGATTTTTTAGATAATATACTACTATTAAAATTGCTAGCAAATTTCAAGATTAAGCAGCTTTAGTGAAAAATTACATTGTTTTCAATGAAAACTTTTCATGTGTACATAACTGAAAAAATTAACAGTTTAAAATTTAAAACTTCAAGTTATGCACATCTGTTTTTAAGAGATGAAATTTGTTTCCAGCATGAGAAAAATGAAATTAGAAAAATTTTAGATGGCATGATTGAATTTACGTTTCTCTAAAAAAAATATATAATATTTGTTGTACTTTCATGCAACATTAATAGTTGATTTTTGTATCAACACATACTAAAATTAATAATAAATTCATTCAATTTATCAATCAAAAATTAAATTCTTACATATTAAATTTATCTATTATCAATTTTTACAAATTTTAATTTAAAATTGCACTTTCTTTCAATCTAAATATTTGAATAGTGAGGAAAAAATTATTTTGTACACAAATAATTGTATAAAAAATGATAAGAATAAATTCTTTAATGTATATTGATTACATCAAATATTTACTACATTTTAAACTATGACTAAAATTAGGTCGTTCTTGTTCTAGATTATGAACTATACTGTATTTGATTTGTTTTGTTGTAGATTTAGTGTATCTACATCACACTTTGACAGCTAGATTGAATAGTTCAATAAGTAAAATTCAAAAATTCTTTTTTATAAATTCAGCAAGAAGAAACTCCAATGACTTTTCAATTCGTAATTTTTTCCATAAAAAACAAACAACTCTGAAAATAGCTTACACAAGAATCTTTCAAATATTTTGAACAAACTATATCTTGCTTTAAAATGCATCAAAATTTTATATGATCAACTTGTGTAAATTAAATCCTTATATTTTCTGTTCTTTATTCATCAAGAAAATTTTTGTGTGATTCTTTGATTAATTTTTTTCATGTGGACTTTGAAACTTCATAAGATGGCATGGAATTATTCTGTTCTTCTAAAAATATAAATAATTTAAAACTTGGTCTGATATTGATTTTATTTAATCTCGATCATAAAAATCTCTTTGTCATAATTAGATGAATAATAATAAGATAATAATCAATTCTTCATGTGATCATCTGAGTAGAGGGCGCACAAAATATATAGATTTTATCCTCTACCGCTGACAGCAGCTCTTGTAGATTTTGAACAGTCATGTTTAGTAAGTTACTTACGCGAGCTTACAACAATAAAAAAGTTTCATGTAGTCATTCTTAATAAAAGTATAGAGATTTGTTGTACTTGTGTACAATTTATCAATAGAGACACTACATTTTTTTATAAAAAATTCCTTCGTCAGATCATTTAATACTCACCTTATAATCTTATTTGCAGTATAGAGTCTGTACATTATTCTTGTATTTAATTCATTTTACTTAATATTTTTTTTTATATTCTTGTGATCTTTTCTACAACATAAATAGAAAAGTGAAAGATATTATTTAGAATTTCTTAACAAAAATATTTTTTTTCTCTTATTGAAAAATATTATATCCATAAATTTTTTTATGGATTTTATTTTACAAATTTTTATTTTTTTTGAATCGAATCTTCTTGTATTTTTTTCATGTGTTATTTTACTCATTTATAATAATTTCATAAGTTTAATATTTATTTGAATAATTATATTTCCGTTCTTATTCTTATGTTTAAAGTATTCATACATACATTGCTTATGAACATATTTTTATTATTATATTAGTAAAAATATTTCATTTCATTTCATTGATACTCTTGTTTGTCTTTAGATCCAATGTGACAAAAAATTAGATTATTGAAATACATGTTGCTTGTGATCCAGTTCAGATTAAATAAAAAATTTAAATATGTAGCGGCAAAATCTATTTTTGAAATGAGTTACGATATATTATTTTAACGAAATTATCTGTTTTTCTAAGGTGAGCATTGACATTACAGAATTGTATCATTTTAAATTTTTATTTTTTTTATAATCATAAATTTGTATATATGTATACATGTTGATTTTCAATTGCAATTTAAAAAATTTCAGTACAACTAAAATATGTATATCTGCATTGCAAAATAATTGATCATAGTTAACAAGAATTTAAGCTTTTGAAAGATTTTAGTTATAAATGTTAAGAAATCATGAACAATTTTGAACAATATAATTTAATATAAAGTCAAACATTAACGTTTACAAGGAAAAAATTTCAAATTTTCAAAAGAAATTTAATTTTTTACAATGATTATTTCAAACATGCATCTATCATGTCTCAACACATCATCATGTTTAGTACAAAAATGCAATCCTAGTCCAATGAAAGAAAATTATATGTTTGAAAGTAAATATGAACAAAATAATAACATTTTGACTTAGCTGAAAAGAATGAATTGTAATGAAGATAAATTTTAAAAAGATAAACAATCATTTAGAACTATGGAATCTTAGATTTATTTACACAAGAATTTCAAAATTAAAAGAAAATTAGAAATTTTTTTGAAATGAAAATTTAATATAGTTTCAAGACTTGCATGAGTTTTATTTTTTCAATAGAAAAATAATTTTAAATGTAAATTTTTATGATTATTTTCAAATATTATTTCAAATATGAATGAAGTCAACAGGTATATGAATTTTCCAATATATGGGTATTTCAAGAAGAAATTTATTGATAATTGATAATCCTTAATATTGAAAAAATATGAATGATTCAAAAAAGTATGTTGAATAATTTAACTATTCTATTTCAAATTATTTTATAAATATTAATTTTTACATAATAAAATTTTATTGGATAACAAAATTACAAGAATGTGTGTTAAGTTAGATGAGATTAGATATTCATACTTTGAAAAGTCCCAAACTGTAGAACTCAAACTCCATGTAAGAGCTCTAAATTATTGACGGATCAATTTTTTCTCTTTAAGAGGGACCAGAAATACCTTTCCACTCCAAAATCGTTTCGAGCTCCAAAATCTACCCTTATCTTGCTTCTTTCACACTAGAGAAAGAAGAAGATTAAGAACATACAATTTAAGTGTATCTAAACTGTGGAGCTTTTAATCCTTGTAACTACTCAGCCAAAGGCTAATTCAAAGATTTTGTCATTCTTAAGGTTAATTTCAAATGTGTGCACATAATTTGGCTCACATATTTCAGAGTAAAAGGAAATATAATCTACCCTTGAAATGTGTATCAAAGAATTTATTGAGAGAATTAAATTAATTTCAAACAGTTGAGGCGAGGTGATATGTTAGCTTGAAAAACACATAAAATGAAACTGGATGCGGACTTGGAGAAAAGATTTTTAAGAAAATTAGAAGAAAAGAAAAGCACACCAGCCCATAAGAAAGTCAGTGTTATCAAACTGACTTTATTAATGAAGATATTCTCAGCTGGCTCCTGCGCAAGATCTAAGTTCTGAACTTCCTGTTGTCACTCGCTTCTAACCATAAGTATCACCGCTAAAGGAAGCCATCTGTCATAAGACTTGTGGCATCCTGCATATACGCTTGATATAATTGCAGAATATCTACATATTTAAGAAAAACTTTTTCCGGAATTTAGTTCGATTTGCCACATCTATATAAAATCTAGCATTTCAGTCTCCACAACTGGTTTCCGAGTTTCCCCCACTGGGGCCCTGGATGCGTCCCTGTGTGCATCTCTGAAGGCATGGTAAGCTTGTGGAGTAAGGGTAGATATCGTGAATCTCGAGTCTATAACCAACCCGGCATCGTGGGTTGTAGGATTCATGTCGAATAACCCCTGCGGAAGATGCACGGGTTCCCGCCCACCATCATGTAGCACTGCTGTCCGCTTTACCACCCTCTTCCACCCGCTGAAAAGTTGAATCCTTGGGACTGCAAATAATAATGATACTGGATATCCGTTATCGTGAAGGCTGCCATGGAGGGCCCTGGACCAGACGTCTGGGACGAAGCATTCACTTCTAGATCAGCCGGATCGTGGTCCAAAATCTTTACAAGTCTCCAAAGGCTCAGCTGGGAATGGATCCCGTCATTTTCCATGATGAACCAGCCGAATCCTTCTGGCGATCCAGCTATTGGCAAGCAAAATGCGAACGATGCGACCACGAAATGAGCACCTTGTTCAGGAACTGACGAGCCCTGGTTCATTCACAAATCCGGGACGCCGCCGATGCCTGTCTTCGTGCCCAGCGGTTTTGAAAGCCGCAGCCAGAGAACTTGCGTTAATAAATGAGATGGATCTCTCCACCCAGTTCCTGGCAACGAAAGCGGTCTCCAGCGACCGATCCTATACTCAGGGTCTCGTCGAGAAATATGTCATGTACCTGCTACAGTACCCGTTCATCCTACCGGTAAAAGGATCATGATTTTCGTCCTCTAGAAAAAAGGTTCTTTCCCGATTTATTTCAGACGTAATCTCGAAGATCGGCCAACGTTGCAGATAGCAATTCTGCAAGAATGGTTTTTTGAGGACAGCATAGAACGTGTAAGTGCAGCAGTAAATGCGAAAATCCTTGTCGTTTGTGTTGACACTACGGTAGTCTTTCAGCAAGCGTGAACTCTAGACCACCAACAGAATTCGTCAACTTTCATCTTCTGCTTAAGCCTAACATCCACACCAGCACATACTAAAATGGAGGCGGACCAAGCTAATGTACTGCGTGCGCCTCATCCATGTGGCAAGATTGTGCAGAACAAGCAAAGCGAAGGATTAGAGATGTAACTCGATCATGTCATTTGTGGTACAGGCAAAGTCCACTCTGCATTGCATGACGGAACATGAGGGCATGAAGTTCAGAGAATCTGGGCCTTTGATCGACAACTCACAGACCAAGGCTTGCACTGAAACCAGGCGAAGAAGCTGCCCGTACCCAGAACTATTTTGACGTGTCGCACATCGTCGTCGGATGTTTGGGTAACTGGTATCGTCAGGTACCAATTAGTAATCTTCTGCTTGGTAAGCCAGACTTGGTCCGTGACGGTGGTACCAGAGAAAGCACTTCTTCTCTTGGGCGCAGCCGACAATATTAGATGTTCTCTCAGTCTCCTGGACTGAACCGTCCTAAACAGCGGTTGTCGCAGTCTTTTGGCAGCAGCGTAGATTTTGAATGAAGCATAGAACTGATTATTGTAGCCATGGCTATTCTGCGGCCAGCAGTTCCTTTTCCTCCTTTGAAGATAAGCGCTTGATTTCATTAGGGGCTTTGGGATGATTTTTGGCCCGGGCATGCTTTCGAAGTGATCCATCGACAAAGTGAATCTTCTACAGCGGAGAATGTTAGAAGTAGAGCCCTCATCTTATTACTTGGGGTTAGAGAAAACTGATGATCATAAGCTGGCAGAAGTTGATTACTTGTCTCACTTCGATTCAAGTTGCATCGAAATCACTTATTACATAAACTTGTTGAAACTACCAGGTTATTAGCGGCTAATACCTTGGTACTCCATAGAGGTTAATAATTAGCCTCTATCGATCCGAATAATAGAAAAAAATGCTCTAGGTTGTCATGATGTGTATTTCAAGCTTCAAAGAATCAAGCATTGAATACAAGTCGTGATCCTTGATATGAAGCATACATGCCATACAGAAGACAACAAGTACATTCTGGGAGTATTTTTGGACTTGCTGCATTGAGACTCAAGCTTGTTAGAATAAGTTAGATTCAAAAGTTACTCTTAGAGTGCTAATATTACACAAGACTTGACACATGTATCAGTGTCCAAAGGAGTGGACTCAAATGATCAGTTATCTATTACACTACCGTTATAGATTACCGTTGTAGACTACTACACTATATGTACAAGACTTCTTACTGATCAAAACAAGCTGACTGATCACAAATCAATGATTCCAACATGGTATCAGAGTGGAAGTGTTCTCTTTGATACTCTCGTTAAGATTGCGAATGCCTTAACTTGACCTCAGTATTTGAAGTTTTTTTTCTCTCTCTTCCGTTCGGAATCATGGATTTCTCAAGAAAAGCGAAGGACATCGACCACACACAGAAGCTGGACGGCATAGACAACTACGCTACTTGGGCTGCGCGAATGCGAGCCATCTTACGCAAGAAGAAATGTTATGCTGCAGTCGAACGAAGCAATGCTTTACCGAAGTTACTACCTGCACTTGAGGTTCCAAAGGACTCACTAATCATGCACGTAAAAATGCAATTACGGCCAAGCAAGAACGAGAGGCGGCTAGCGAAGAGATTCATGGAAAAATTGACATCATTCTTGAACAACATGATGATGCTGTTTACTACATTATGATGAACGTGCATGAGCACATTGTTCATTATATTTCTGCCATGTCTAATCCTCACGTGATGTGAAAAGAGCTAGAGACACTATTTGCATCCGCTAGTTAGGATCGACGCCAACTCTTGCGACGAAAACTGTCTAATGTCTCAATGAGGGAGGGTAAGTCTATCAAAATTCACATGCGTGCCGTGAGAAATCTCACTAACCAATTGCCTAACTGCAACGATAGTCAAAAATTCAAAACTCATACCACTCATTCTTGTGAGTTTGCCTACAAGTTGGTCAGGATTTGCTTCTTCCATTAAAGCTAGCATTGTTCATAATCCTTACATGCTTTCACAATTTTACTCTTTTTATTGATCTAGAAATGACTCTTGAAGTCATATCTAACACAACCCGGGTATCAGTCAAGTCTCTTATTGACACCATCCAGCGTAGTAGACAAGACAAGCAGCAATATCATGTAGATAAGAGTAGATCTACTTCTCGATTCAATGATTCAACAGTGATCGTGACTATCACGGATATGAGAGAAGAAACTTGAGCAACCAAGATCAGAATGAGTTTCACAACCGCCATGACTCTCGTAATCATTCTCAGAATTCTCCTCAAAGATATACTAACTCTTGTACTCCCCTTGGCGTTCTCAGGAAAGATCTTATGACAGTAACAGCAACAGCTCTTCATCGTCTGCTACTCCGAGCTTGAAACTCAACATGTGCAATGAGTGCGGAGAAATGAGACACTAATCGTATGAATGCCATCAACAACAAATTCAGAAAGAGCTCGAAGCACTTCTAGACTAGACACAGTAATGTCGTTCTACAACACATGATTTTTTGATAGTGGAGAATCCTCACACTTTAGCTAGAAATAGTTCATTTCTTTCTAATATCAAAAATCAGGATGATCAAATCTCTGTTAGAACTGCAGGCAATCAGGTTCTTCTGGTTTGTGGAAAAGTCTCACTTACATTAAATCGGAAAAAAGTGTTTGATGTTTTTTACGTGCCTGGTGTGAAGAAAAATTTGTTTTCTATTGAACGGCTGACTAATCTAGGCCATATATCACGTTTTAACTTCAAGAATTGTTATGTATTTGATAGAGAAAATCCACGTAGCATACTATTGCAGGGAGAAAGAGATTCACATAACAAGTTTATACAAGTTGACTAAGCTGGAAATCTCTCACGAGCCATCATAGCACCGTCTTCCTCAACACGACTTCTTTGTTCCACTGAAGTTTGTAATATAGAAGAGCCTAAACCTGATTTCCAAACCTGTTTATTTTCTCAAGCAGAACTTTGGCATCGTAGGGTGGATTATGTAAACTATCAAATACTCCATTTGATGGCCTTAAAGAAACTGGTTGAGATTGAGGTGGAGAAATGCTATTTGTGAATTTCCAACTTCTAGCCTCTCCACTTGCCACTGAGTCAACATTAGACTTAGTCTAACCAATGGAGTATTCCTCACTTAGTAAAACCAATCAAAGATTTTTTCACTTTGAATCTTGACTTTTGTACAAGACAAAATAGAAATGTTCACTCAAATCTTTTAAATTTTTTCTAATTATTCCGCCAAGTATGGATATTATAGCTAAATATAGTTATAACTAGGTAAACTTAGTAATAACTAACTAGTATTAGTTATAACTAGGCTAACGATGATTAATTCATTGACAACTTTTAGTTCTAGTTCACACATACAACATCAGATCTAATATTATAGTAACCACATGGCTTTATTAGAAACAGTTTTGAAAATTTCGTATGTAAACTTAAAAAAGCACTTTACGACTTACGACAAGGACTTGGTATGAATGTATTGACTTATATTTAAGACAAGCAAGTTGGACATACCGTTACTCAGATCCTAATCTTTATGTTTTAAGGAAGGATTGTCTCATAATAATTTTAACGTTCTATGTAGACGATATGTACATAACAGGAAATAGTGAAGTAAAAACCCATCAGATTAAGTCAGATCTAATGCGTGAGTATGATATGAGTGATTTATGTGAAATTCAAAATTATTTAGGAGTTGAGTTCTCTCGGTCACCACAAGGATTATTACTCCATCAGAAGTCTTATATCATCAAAGTTTTAAAAGATTTTAATATGCTTGACTCTAGGCCATCTACATTATCAATCGATGCTGAAAAATACTTGACAGAATATACCAGCACTCCCTTTGTTGATCATACGTTCTACAAAAAATTAGTTCAATTGATGTTTGCAACTAATTCGAGATTTGATATTTGTTTTGCTGTGGTACAACTCTCACGGTTCATGACAACACCTTAGGAGTCTCATCTTGATATTGGCTTCCAAACCTTGTAGTACCTCAAGGGTACTTTAGACCAGGGAATATTGTTCAAGTGAGTTCATCCACTACAACTGCAAGGATGCACAGATGCCACGTGGGGCTCTTGCCAAGACACATTCAAATCTACTTGTGCTTACGTTTTTACACTAGCTGGAGGGGTAGTATCATGATGTTCTAAGAAGCAAAATTTCATCTCATTCTCCTCTACAGAGTGTGAATATAAAGCCTTGTACTTTGGTGCACAAGAAGCCGTTTGGCTATGACAACTCTTGCATGAGAGCAATCCAGTTACAGTCACACTGACACCAACGCCTCTCTGCTCCAATGATATTAATATCACTCTGCTCTTCCCACTACCAATTCACTGACTGTCTCCACAATAGTTCATTGTGACAAGGAGAGTACTATAAAACTTGCCAAGAATCCAATTTTTTATGCAAGAAGCAAGCACATTAATATCCAGCATCATTTTATCCGGGAGCAGGTAGCTTTGAAGGGAATTGAAGTTCGATTTCTCTCCATCAAATTACAGGCAGCAGATATCTTTCTTGGTATATGAAGTGTATCAACGCCACCCGAAGAACCTCTTTCGACAATTAGATGATGAAGAATTAGATGTAGAGTAGTAGTTTTTAGATCTACGTTATGCACTCTAGAGCAAGGGAGGGTGTTAGAATAAGTTAAATTCAAAAGTTACTCATAGAGTGCTTATGTTACACAAGACTTGACACCTGTCCAAAGGAGTGAAGCCAAATGATCAGTTATCTATTACATTACCGATATAGACTACTAAACTGTATGTACAAGACTTCTTACTGACCAAAACACAATCTGACTGATCACAAATGAAGCTTTCTAATCACTCTTTAGATTTCTTCCTCGATTAAATATGCATACAATATCAACATTGTTAGTTGTTTTTCTCAAACCACGTTTTGATTCTTCTCTCCAAAATCTCATTTGGCATAATAGTCCATACGAGGAAAATAAAATGAATACACACTACTTTCCAATGTGCAGTTTCCTTACGTCCTACATAACAAGGGTACAATTTACGACAATTTAGGATGTGATTGAACTGTCCGTGTCCTCTGGGCCGCTCCAAGCCTGGCCGCAAGAAACTTTTCAGAAATTGTTTTCGGCCCCCTGGAGTAGGTTTAGCTCACATTCGTATATTTCAAATGAATGTCCCTGGAGCAGTTGATAGAGGCAATCATCACGTTGCAATGTGTACTTTGAGACAAGATAAAATCTGTAAAAGCGTGATAGACACTACCCGAAGCCTTTACAACCGTTTTCTATGATCTAGCTTCAGCTAGGAGGGTGGCTGTTTCCTACGTTCTTCGCCTTATGTGGCTTGCCTATCTTGCTTGATTTCTCTGATCATGGTCCTTTCGAGCATTCGTGGATCCTGAATCTCATTCATTCATCTAATCTTGTAATGTCTAAAGGATACTCAGTATGAATCAGATATGGTCATTTTAGGACAAGGCAAATCCTGCCTGGTAATCAAGGTCAGCCTTTTCGCTCATTCCAACAATAGAAATTCAATCAATATACATTTGTAGACAAGTCGTATCTCCTTCTAGACATCTTGAGCTGTTTTGTAGAATACGTACCACAGTGTACCTCCAATGGCTCAGCCAACGATGGTATGTATGATGAACATTATCTATTGACGGGATGAGCAAATTGTGCTCACTGGAAGTGGAGAATTCAAGTGTGTAGGACGGAGAGTAACTTCGGGATCGAGCTGAGCCGAAATACATGACATTGTCTTGATTGACGGAGAAATATGATGCTTCAGTCACCTTATTATCAACTTCAACTAGCCAAAAATGATTCTGTAGTAGCATGTATGTCTCGTTTCTAGAATAATAATATTATTTGAGTATGTATTTGAGTAATTTTAATAAATTTGACTAAGGTTAGTGAAACTTGATCGCAGATTGCTACGTACCACGCCAATATCTGAGTGACCTTACAGAGCAACTATGATTAGCTTCTAAGCACCTGAATCGGATCTCTGATGAATTTACTGGACAGGTTGAAGGGGAGTCTTGTAGGTCCGACACAACAATTTATGTACTGTTAGTGAGAATAGGTGATACATGACGACAGTCACTTTGACCACCTAGAAGTGCGTTTACGATGCACAGAATGTACAATGCGTCAAGATGAAGACAATAAGACTTACCACACCAACATTGGAAGTGCATTTTAGTCAGAATAAAAACACACGTCTCATCGGCATGGAATTGGGAGAGTGTAGAAAAACACTGGGGGTATCTATTATATAAAACATGATATGTTGTGTAGTGGGACGATATAGTACATGCACAAACTTATGGCAGCAAACCTGTTCGTGAGAAAATGAAGACGGAGAGTCCGAAGTGATCTTCGGATGCGGGTGGAGATCAGCACGTGACTGGCTTCAACAAGACAGCAAGAGCTCTTACACAAACTGTTCGCCATAGATTGTGGGACATTTTATAAATTTTACTACCATAGAATTATCTTAGAAGTAGCTTGTATAATACTAGGTCTTATGACTCAATCAAGATTTTATGATAGGAATCTACACTCTTGAGCAATGGTTTTTACACGGAATAATCTGCAAATCGTTCAGATCAAAGAGTAGGTGGATGAATAGAGACTGAAACTATGAACTTTTCATCATCTTAGATACTTGAAGATGGCACAGGAAAACTACCACGAACATTTCAGATTTATTGATTGAAGAAGATATCATTCATGAATCTCAAACTATTGGTTCAAATCTACGCACCCTTAATAATCCGAATCACAATTATTACTTAATCAACTTAAGCTCAACATTTCACAAAGTAGTCTATATAGCTTGATTTGTAATGATAATGAGATTAACAATAACACGTTCTTGTAAGCTATCGTTAGTTGGGATTATTATGCATTGCAAATAAACTAAGTCTAAAAGAGGAAGTGGAATATCCTCAAACCATTTTAATAGATGAGCATCTGCTATAGATCGCTCCGTTCAAGCTAAATCTTGACAATGTTGAGTACCTTTTGCTTGAAAAGAAAATCAATTTTCTTCAGACTTGTTGCCGAGCCCTTCTCTCCCACCTTTCTGCATGATGACGCTCTTGACTGGAGTAGGAAATATTCTTAGGGGCATCATCTGTCTCCCAGAAGCAGATTGTTACGTCCACGCAAATCGCTCAGTGATCTTCACTTTCCTTCCTTTGTTTTGTCTTTCAGAGCAGGCGACGTTAATTACTAACATCGAAGCGAAGGAAATCTAATCTCAGATGACTTTAACTGGACAGGTATAAAGGAGAGTCTAGAACGTTCTTCGTCCAGTAGGTCGGTCTAAAAACTACTGGAACTGTTAGTAAGAATAACTGATACATGACGAAAGTAATTTTGACCACCTACAGGAATGTTCACAATGCACAGATTGTAAAAGGCCACAAGACGATGAGTGTTACTACAAGAAAATTGACATTGCATTTTTTAAGTTAGAAGAGCAATGCACGTCTTTTCGGCATGGAATTGCGAGAGTGTTGAACAAGGGTGGGGGGAGGGTATATATATGTGTTACACATTTGTCATTTGATCAGACAAGAACCAGTCGTTCCACTCTCCCAGATAAAGGCCTGGCCGTGGTACAGAACCAGGCTGCAATTGGGCAGCATGATGAAGGACTAGAGCTGTTATCGGAGACTTCGGACTGGTTGGCCATATTCATCAATAGTATGTGTTACACATTCGTCACTACTAGGTACTGTACAAAGGCTCCATGAAGGTACATAATGGACAATGCTACACCTACTTAAATAAAATAAGTAATATCACATCCACATAACTGAACTTCGGAGTAATCTAACCCGGCATGAATTCGACATCAGGCGTCCGCGAGCGGCCGTCGGCCGCTCGCGGACGTGGGACTTTCTGTACTTCTGGGACTCTGCCTGACCCGCCCTCCTCTTTGGGCCAGCCGTTTAATTATACCCCAACCCATTTTTTCCCTGAACGCTGAACGTATGGCAGCAGCCATACGTTCAGCGTAAATATCACTTCATATGGTTCTAAAGCTGCAGCTCAAATTACATCTAACCGTCCCGGCATCCGTCCTTCAGATTCGCAGGAAACTGGATATGAGAGACACTTATATCTTGGAGGATCCTGAGCATGAATTCGACCTGAGATCTGGACGTGTTTGAGCGAATTACGACTGGTACGACGTACAATGTTGATTGTAGAAATGCAACTGAACAGAGAGATTGTATCCTTTACTTCTTCAAGTCTCCTTTGAAATATGGAAGGAAAGCTGTACCTGAATTCAGGAGAATAATTTACCGTTGCGGTCAGAAAGCTGTGAAAATCAATAAAGAAGGTATGTCGTCTACCACCATATCCCTTTTAAGTACTGTTGTGCCATTCTTCAATATCTGCCCGAATCAAGTACGTGGACCAAATCGTCAACAACTATGCTGAAATTTTATCTTGAATGATGTATATAGGAACAAGAAAGATCAGAATTAGAATCTAGCTGCATGTCGAGCAAAATTTACCTTAACCTTCATGTCAGCGGATATGAAAACAAATGATGCCAAGTCTCATGTAATTGACAATTTTTTTTCCATTGCTCATATAGAACGACGTACACAGACCATATACTCGAAATTGGCTGCTCCATTTCGAAGATCAAAACATTGCCTCGATCTTCGAGTCCAGGCATTTTTATCCTGGATTCTATCAAACATCTACATTCATTGATAGGTCGATTATAAACATCATTTTAATGACCCAACTATAAAGCAACCGCGATTATTCACTTCTAAATTCACATTCCAAGAGGCAAGACCTTTAGCCAATTTAAGGTAGATCAAGTCCAAGAATTAAATCCTTTCACAGCTTGCTGAACCTCGACTTTAAGCGCCAACTACACCTAGTTGGCGCTATACAGTTTCATCGTCAGGGCGTTAAGAAATTCGGAACTTTTGCCAGGCTTCCCCAAGATCAAATGCTGTAGTTATGTATTGCTCTGAGTATGCCGTCCTGTGAATCTCCGAGACCGAAACTTGCTGATTCTCACAACAATCTGCATCGGATGTGTTTTTTGAGATCGTGAATCTGTATCCAGAATTCAAATCAAAACTTTTCACTGTCTCTGGAACTCCTTGAGCCCAACTTTCCACCTGTGCTGATGAGCTGACTTGAAGGAGGCATCGGCAATCAAATCTTGGACTTTTGAGACATACGATCAGTGACTGCACAGTTCTGCCAGAGAATGAGCTCTGAGAATTCAAAGCAAACGGTCAAAAATAAGTTTTCGCTGAAGCTTGACGCTCAAGTCGTTAACTTTCTTTGCTGTGCCATCGCCGATCCTCACACTGTGTTTGTTCGCTTCCATGTGGACGTATTCATCGAGGTTTTCATGTGTTTAGATTCCTAACAGGTAGAGTATGGCGCAACACACTATATTAGTCGTGATTTCACACAGCGAAGAACCCCAACAACATAGACGGAGCCATTCATTTCAGTTTGGCTCTGGCCTCATGGCACCAAGCATGAAGCTCGTCTCTCATATCTTGCAAATAAAGTTTCTTGTCCTCTTCTGAACAGTTACAGCGAACGTTGAATCGGCAGATCTGCATCTGACTTGAACTCTGCTTGTCGAATTTAGTGATCTGATTTCTTATCTTATTAACGATCAATGAGGCAGTTCGCTTCACGATGAACATTGTTTTCGTTCGTGTGAATACGGCTTCGACGATGCAGAGGGTCGTAACGTGTGAAATCTCGTGTCACAGAAGTACATTCGTTGTACTCAATCGTAATTTCTACAGATGCAGAGGTCTAAGTTATTTTCTCCTGGATAGGCATGATTCGGTCATTCTCTATGGGCATTTGTACTGCAGATTCGAGGACAAGAATCTGTCTGGATGTCGACATGCCCAGCAGACTTCAAGTAGTGGACAGAATGCGACAAGTTGGTATCACCTAAGTACGCCTGTAGCACACATGCAACGAGACCTCCTAGCTTTCACTAACAGCGTCATACAATTGACCGTCCGCATTGCAAATGAAGAGTTTTCCACAGCCCTCTCCACTTTAATGTCCCCCGAGATGGAAATGGCAAAATCCTGTCATTCCATCCCAGTAGCATCGTGGAAAACAAAGTGCTCAGCTCTGATAGAGTTACGAAACCAGCACTCCTCCTGTCGGCGATGAAAACTCTGCATTAGATCTTGGATGGAATTCGCCTGGGCCACATTAAAGTCACCACGGCCCACGCTTTAGATCTTATCACGACCTCCTACCTTCCTTCCAGTGGCCAATTCTCCGACCCCATCTAAATGTTACCAATGGTTACATGGCTGTCTTCTGTCAAATCCAAGTTCTTCTGCAACATCTAACCTTACTCCATTTACGGAGCCGGTGGCCTCGTAAGATGGACTGTGGCCTTCGGCTCAGCTTTGACGACTCACTCATTGACCGAGGCAGCAACCTCATCGCGCAGAAGGTCGACGCAGTTCATGCAGCGCTGGAGAAAGTCGGGTTCCCAAAAAGGAGGGTGACAATCGGCCAGATCGGCTGGCCTTCTGCCGGAGATGGCATCGATGCCACCGTGACATAATGAGAATCTGGTGGCCATAGCCCATGGATTGATCACGGTCAAGCCTGAGGCCTACATCTCGTGCTCGTACAACTCGAGCGAGATTTAGAAGCCCAAAGGTTTTCAGGAGCACTTGGGCCTCTTCGACCGCCACGACTTTCTGCCCGTTTACTTTTTGGATTTTGGCAACCTCGTGACGCAGACTAACAGATGCACAGAAGGCATGATGAATATGGCCAACCAGTCCGAAGTCTCTGATAACAGCTCTAGTCCTTCATCATGCTGCCCAATTGCAGCCTGGTTCTGTACCACGGCCAGGCCTTTATTTGGGAGAGTGGAACGACTGGTTCTTGTCTGATCATGCGAGACGAAGGCAACACTCTGGTGTACGGGGAAGGAATAGTGCGGTGGTCCTCGGGAACTTGGGAACTTTAAGTCATGTATAATGAAGAGCGGCAAGCCATCTGGAAGAAGAACACAGGGGATTTTTAATACTCGAAGTTTCAATTAAGTATATGAAGTTTGCGATTAAGAAAAAATCTGAGAGACTCAATGGAAAATTTGATGGTTGCAACTTTACATTACAGCATGCTAAGAAACAGATTACAAATTTTCGAACACTTTCTAGACATATTGGTGATGAGGACAATATCTTCGAATTATGAATGGGAGATAGCTAAATCCTGTGAGGTGGCCAGCTTCGTGGCCACTCTTCCATAACTCGATGAGTAGATTCAAGTGATGTCATTCTGTGCTGAATATATGTCATATTTCAGCATTAAGGTCTTTCTTCTTGTACAGGATTTCGAATCAAAATATTTGGTTGATCTTAGGTTTTGATCCGAGACCATGTGTAGAACTGAATGTGGGAATTTAGATCAATCGGTCAAAAGGAGAGCATGGGCTTTCTGTTGCAGACGTTCAACTCTCTTTCACTCGGCATATGCTCAGAAGTGTTGATCTTGCAAACTATCACTCACGCAACCGCTCAAAATTTAGTTAGATGCACGACTGTAGAATAGGATCCCGATGGAGCATTTTGGATCTAGCAATGACAGTGCAACAAAGGTCATTGTCATATTATTTCAAGCAAGTAAACCTAAATTAAATAGTGCATTCTACTGACCATGATAAATCCTTGGCTGTGTTACGCATAGGTTTATTATATTTCAAAATTCCGCGTTCTGGATCTGACAGGAGAATCACTAACATTCAATGCATTTCATAAGTGATTGCACGATGAAGCTTTTTTTCCCTCAAACGTAGACTCAGCCTGAATCTCTCAAATTCCAATTTTTTAATGACTTCTCCCGTGTGTTCCATGTTTGGTTTGATGCATGTTTAACAGTTCCTGAGGTGGTACCTCAACAGCTGCAATAGGACATCGACATCGTTATAACATGCAAACCGCTGTACTCACTGTTTGTGACCACTAATTGTTGCGCAAGTTATTTCCTTTCACCGTACGCCGAGGAAAGGAAATCACTTTCAAATTTTGGTGGAGTTGAATGTGAACCCCCACGTCAAGGTTCAAAATCATTTCTCCGCTGTTCAAAAATATATGCTGTCCTCAGTTGAATAAATATTCATTTCTGAATACAGATCTCTTCCAAAATCAATAGAGGAAACTTTCCTCCATGCAGAAATGTCTTCACGTGCTTGCCTGTTTATTGCTCCACCATCAGACAGGCAAGCACTGTTGATGAAGTTCTCAACTGAAAGTTTATTACTGTACTTAAAGCTTTAGAAAACCAGGAATGATTTGTTTAAGTATTCATTGGCCCGAAGAAGAAAGAATATGCTGACTACCAACTGATTGGGTGTGCATTGGACCTGGGAGGTCGAAGTGCGAAACAGTTAAGATCTCTCTACATCCAGAAGTTTGGATCTTGGGAAACTCTTACAAACTTGTCTCTCAAACATAGAAGCTATGCAAATCTGACTGAATCTTCAACTACCACTTCAGGTTACTCCTCGGCCAGTTCATTTTTCTTCAGGTGTTATTGACTACTCATGTTCACATGTCCATCTTGTACATCCAGCAAGTACAACATTCCTTGCTTCACTTCTTTGGCAAATGATTGATCTTCCTTGAACAAGTGTGTTTTCCTAGAAAGTCCAGTTTACTACCTTTGAATTTCTCTTCGCCAGTAGTACGGTGCTGATTCTTCCCACCGAACGTACCATGTGCTGCAAGGATATGATAGCTCTTGTGACACTGTCATAACGAAGTCTCCTACTCAAGGTCAGCCATTTGGCTTCAACTTTGCCAATGGAATAACGTAAATTCATTGCAGAATAGTTTGCCCCCAAGAAGATCCATATCTTGCACCTGACGTGGGGGAAATTTCATCACAGTACACGAGAAAACATCCTCCAAACTTAATCGAGTAAAATCCTAAACTCTCGACATGCTCTGGCTGTTGGCTCGTTGCGTCCACGCGGAGCGGACATGTGTCACTTTTTTCACGTTTTCTGGCGAGTCAATGTCTATGCATATCGTCTGAATCGCATCTCCGCACGAATTTCGGTAATTATAAGAGGGTACGGCAAAGCCCCGAAAATACGAACAAATATTGAGAAGAGCCAGGAGTACACGGAGTTCCCCACAGTATCGCTCCTTTCGGGAGGCTCTGTGGTAATGCAGAGTAACGCAATGTGGGTAGAGGATAGCTCAAAGAGCCAAATCGGATCTTGTGAGCTACACCGAGAGGTGGCTGACATGAGCATGGGTGACGAAATATCCGAATTGCGGTACTTAATCTGACAATATGCAGAACTTCTCAAATCTTGACTGCTTCCGACGTCTGGAGTTTACAAGTTTCTAACTGCAATCGGAGTCGACAAGATCCAAACTGCAATTGCATGTGCATATTCCAACTCTTCAGATAGTGAAAATTGTCGTGCTAAAGTGCTTCTATTAGACCTTTTCATACTGCTCTATGTGGCTATGAAAGTTTTAATGCGATCCCCTTACTCAACGACTAATATACAGCTTACGAAAGACAACCACGTGTTATATTTGACGCTGTTATTTGTAGATTGAAGGTTTGAATGTAAACAGACTCATCGCTTTGTTACTAGTAATGTACGTAGGCTGTTTGTACATCATATCCCGGTAAAGAAATTTGGTAAAGCGAACTACGGCAAGAGTCATGAGCGAATGACTGTAAACGCGAGGAATATATTCTTAAGAGAATCTCATGCGAATCAATACCACAAGGAAAGAATCATATCATATAGTTCATATACACATGTATCTTTTAAAAATACACATATATGTAGACTAGAAGATGCCACAATGTTTTAACAATTAGCGATGATTCAGCTTATACCAAGTATTTGTACCTCCTTCTATATTGATCATCTCAAATACTTGCAGCGCGTTTTCAGCTTTCATCGTGGCAGATCAGTTCCCACTCCTTCTATCCAGAAATTGATGCACATGATGTCAACGGTCAATAACAAAACATCACTGTGGAGATATTCTAGGGCCATGTTCAATACAATCCTGCAGCCTTGATTTTTCTGTCTTCTTTCGGACGTACATTTACTGTGAGTTTACTCCAAGATTGAGAGTGAAAAGGTATCTTCCATGTAAGTCTATGTACATCAATCTTTGCCATCCACTTGGTCCTTTTCTCATTCAAGTATGTGAATCTTGCATGTCCTTGTCCACCATGTTCATAGATCATTGATCATCATGCGTAGACAACGATTGGTGACTCAAGAAAGGATATTAGAAAACAATATAGATATATGGGTTCATAGAGCTAGAATGTCGACTTTAATAAGAATCTTCAATTTCATGATGATTTTCATACGAGGCTTTCTCCTTTGTAAGTATATGTTGGTATAATATCATGTCAATATATGTTGAATCATAGAACAGAATAGGAATGTACCAGTATGTAGCATCTTGTATGTAGAAGGGGCAGAAACGATCTTCGTCTTAACATGATATCCCAAATTTTCTCAAAGTGAATCTTCTTTTTTGCGAAAACATATAATTTAATTCGTCGAACGCCGATCGGACAAACTGTCACTGCTGCCGTGTCAGGGTCACTGAGCATAGAGCTCTCGTTTGTGAAAAGAACCTGAGTAGAGCATGTGAAACACAAACTAGAGTTCGGTAACAATGCTACTTGCTCAAGGATTTCAGATTAAATGGTCTCAAAGATGAAAATACTTTGCTACCATGTGGCTCAAGTCCAACAAGAACCTAGACAGTCAACTGAGGGCTCGTCATGTCATGTCTACCAATGTATGAGGAAGTAACTTTCAAGGTTTGGGGTACCAGGAATTTATTTGAACAGTTTTTCGGGTACAAGGAAGTACATCCCTGCTTTAAAAGAAGGGATGTACTTGGATTGGCTTTACAGTTGTAAGATAGATTTTGTCGCGAAAAAAGAAATCATTTATGCGTTTCGCTTATAGCACCGTACATATATATGCTATGGTCTGAATGGTAAACAGAAAAAATTAATAAAAAACATGAATTTCTAAATAGTTTTCTCGTTTGAGTTCTTCATTTGAAGAGAGAATGAACCCATTTGTTGGGGGTTAATCGGTCAACTTACAACTCAGATTCGGTGTACCTTGCAACCATCCTTACATAGTAACAGGAACATGACCAGCACAGGTCTCGTTAAAACGAACGTGCTTACGAATACCACTATCCACTACTTGATAGAAGACGAGGAGATTTACTGTTGTCATAAATTCTACTATTGAAATCTCAAGCTATAAGTGAAGAAAGTCCAGGCTTTCAAAGCAGCTCTGTTTCTCAGAGCATTGGCTACATTTTTCTCCTTCACCTCGTCTCGCTTGGAAGTTTGAGATTTGAGCTCACAGCTCTCTTGACATTAACTTGTGGGCGGACGACGAGAAGAAGATATTCAAGAACAAGCCACTCCGGAGTGATTTCTGGAGTTTGCACGCAAAGATGGAGGGTTCTCTAGAGCGCAGTCGTGATGATCTAACTATCGTAGCTCAGGTCAACGTGAATCTCATGAAAGTCAGTCTGGCTGGACTGACAAATCCAGCTCACATTTCCATTCAGCTCGTTTCTCAGACCCCAAATGCCGATAGCCCAGCTCCAGGTGAGACATTCTATAACAAAGATATGATTTGCACGTTGCTACATGTAATAGCTTCTCTTACATTGTAGCCTACTTCTCGAATCAGTTCTTTCAATTTGCATTTTTAATTTTGAGTCCAAGCTGACTGAGAGATGTAATCCATGAGGTGTATAAGAGCATGTTGTCTGTCACTCGACTGTTGGGGCTGTTTTCTCAAGTTTGAAATCTCATATTCAACAATCTTTTGTCAGGCACCGAGTTAAATTATTTTAGCAGGCATGAGGTCCTAATCAACAGGTTGATGTATCCTGATCCTCCGCACAGCTACTGAGTTTTTACACTTGTGGAAATGTGCTTAAGAGATTCTGATGAAAATTCTGATGTTTCCTACGAGATATCCAGCTTTTATTCAAAAGGAGCCAAGTAAAAGTGCCGAGGTGACGCTTGTCAACCCTCCACCAGCAAATGGAACGGCGAGTCAAGCTGCCAAATTGGACAATCAGTTTCCAGTCGTGGTGCCAAGCTTCTTGCTGAGATTTACGCAGCTCACAGACGATTTCCAAGTCGGAGCAATTATAGTGAGAAACAATAACAAGGAAGAGTTCTACCTCAATTCGGTGAAGCTTAAAAGGACAAAGAACATCCATGACGTACCCAAAGATTCAGACGACTGGGACTGGGTGTTCGAGTGTGACAGTCAAGTTCACCCCACAGTCGACCCCCAGAAGGACTTCCGGGTGTTCTTTCCTGATAGGGTGAGATTTAGGCATCTGAACAAACTATTGATTAAAATGTTTATTCTCTCCATTCGTACCTCTTCACCGTGTTCTCCAGTACCTTGATTATAAAAGAAAGAAGGGTAGGAAAAAGGATTGAGTCGTGAGCTTTAGAGTCACTCTTAGATTTCTAAACTCGATATTTCAAGCAGCTCGATGAATCCCTCTCAGTAATTCGCACTGGGATAATGAGTATGCGAGTTCTTATTCATGCTTGTCTTTCTACAGGCGGTATATTTCCCTGGGACCCTCACGAAGCTGAAAGAGCACGAGCTCGATCGAATGCGTGGAGACGTGACACACCTACAAGACGACATGGTGGTTTACGATTACGATGTTTATAATGACTTGGGGTTCGATTTCAATTTGGGTGGCTCTCAATTTCCATACCCTCGTCGCCTCAAGAAGCCTTCACTCTTCGAGCCGAGTAAGATGGTTTTCTCGTCTCCTACCATTTTTAAGTTGTAGGTTACAGAAATTAGACGCGTGGACTTAGTCATATGGACTCCATAAGTTCAGAAGGCAGACGAGCTGATCAACGTACACATTTAGATTCAGACGCTTTGTTTCTATACGTACGATGTCGGGTTTAGACTACTAACTTGACTACACGAACAGGTTCAGGTGAAAGCACCACTGGACATGGAAACACCGTGTTCCAGACATTCATCCACACAGCTATTGAAAAAGTCACAGATGCAAATTTCGTGGGATCGAAATTGGTAGATCCCAAGAAGACATTCAGCAGCATCCTCGAGGTTGCTGCAATGGATAATCGGTTTGTACATCAGACGGAAGCCCTCGGAGTGCTGGACCTTTTACTCGAACTGTTCGATATGGCGACATTCAACAAAAATCCACGTATCGTCCTTCTGCAGAAATTCATCCACGTGTTAAAGGAAGTCCTGCAAGCGTTTGATTTCCCGAAGCCGAGATCTGTCATAAGTAAGTTTCTGTCCTCATTCTCTCGGAGGTCAAACACGCCTTGGCACGTGAAGCAGATATGCTTAAGAATTAAAAATGATTTCGAGCTAGACAGTGAGGGAATGAATGCTCTGAATACGTTCAGATTCTTACCCATTTCCTTAGTGGTCCTCAAGCTAAATCTCATTCGATGACCATTTCTTTATGCAAATTGCAGCTTTAGAGCCCAAAGTCGTAAGCACTTGGTCGGACGTTCTGATGAATGACGACGAGTTCGGGCGGCAAGCTCTGGCGGGCATGAACCCGACCGTCATTCAGCTCTTGAAGGTGTGAGTTCAAACTGGAAACATGAGGCTTATGACTCGATTGAATTGGCCGTAATGCAGAACCGAGTTACTACGCTTTTCTTGCTCCTTTCAGACCAGAAACGAGCAAGCATCTTGAAAATCCTGAGCTGCAGCTCAGCTTCAGTGGAGCTGGCTCCTCCTCATGTAGAGAGGATGCATTTATTTGCTCTATGGCTCAGTTTTTTTATCAATTACAGTTGTCAAATATTGTTTAATCTTTTATTGCACGACTGCATATATCTTGTCACTTATATTGCACGACTGCATGGCTTCTAACGTCAGACCCTGCTCTGGATTGTCCACAAATACAGACCTTTCCTTCGAGTGAAACCGGAAAGAAGACTACCGACCTTCAGGATGCTGTTGAGCAGTATCTGAGCTCAACTGGGGGACTCACATTGGAGCAGGTAGGTGGGGAGTTTCATAGCTATGATGCAGTGCTATGTTGTCAAAGAGAGAAATCGTAAGAAGCATAACAATCAGAAGTAAACGTTGTCAGGAACTAAGATTTTTGTATTCACTGCAGGCGATCGAAGCCAACAAGCTCTTTATAATCGATTACCACGACGCCTTCAAGGCCTACGTGGGGGAGATTAACAAAGTCTCCGGTAGAAAGACGTACGCAGGACGTGCTATCTTTCTCGCGAACGATCAAGGCAAATTGAGCCCCGTCGCCATCGAGCTATCTCTACCTAAAGATCGTAGAGACCAGAATTGCACATTACACCGTGTTTTCACCCCTGGGGTTGCCCAACAAGAGCTGCAGCCGAGCTCCAAAGGTAAGGGAGGCTCTTCAGATCCGGCCGATGAGCCGCTGCTCAACCCTTGGTGGGAGCTCGCCAAGATCCACTTCATTTCTCTGGACTTCGCATACCATGAGCTCGTCAGTCATTGGTAAGTGTGCCGATGGCTAAATGATCTCCGGTATCCCCTCTTACCACTTTATGTCCCAATTTGAGGACGTCGAGTTTGTTTGCGTGAGTCGAGAAGTGGTCTTGGATAGGAAAGCTGTTCACTGACATAAACCGTATGTACCGCTTCACGACCGTGCTTCAGGCTGCAGAGTCACGCAGTGATGGAGCCAATCATCATCGCCACTAAAAGGACCCTGCTCTCCAAAGTACATCCCATCGGAAACCTGTTGGAACCCACCTTCAAGAACACGTTGGATATCAACTTCGACGCTCGTCAGATCCTGATCAACAAGATCGGCATAATCTCCGACAACTTCACCGCTGGAGAATACAGCATGAAAATCAGCTCTGGCGCTTACAAGGCATGGCGTTTCGACAAGCAAGGAGCTCCGGCAGATCTAGTCGCAAGGTGCCACGATCAGACACATTTCCAGTGCATTTTATGATCAGATCACTATCGTCTTGTCGAGGGCTGTACAGTCTGGTTCTGCTTTGGCTTTCTCAGGGTCCTTGACTTTGTGTACTATTTGAATGGCACTGATGCCTGCTGATGCATCCCCTGCATTCATTGGTGATGGAGCAGAGGAATGGCAACAATACCAGATCCGAACAACAAAGACGACGTTGTGCTGGTGGTCAAGGACTACCCGTACGCGCAGGATGCTTTGGACATGTGGAAAGTGATTAAAGCTTGGGTCAGGGATTACGTGCAGATATTTTACAAATCGTCGGCCGATGTGCTCAACGACCCACAGAATGACGGAGCGCTGCAGAATTGGTGGACCGAGCTGAGAACGAGGGGTCATCCCGACATCAAGGAGGGGTGGCCGGAGCTGGACTCCGTCGACAGCCTCGTAGAAATTCTCACCACGATCTTTTGGATAGCAGGCCCGCATCACGCTGCAGTGAACTTCGGCCAGTACGATTACGCCGGCTACGTGATACAAAGATCATCCATGACCCGTCAACTCATCCCCGAGTTCAACGTGAAGAAGACCCAAGACGCCTGGAGATCGTACATACTAGACACCATAGCCACTCCCAGGCAGACCTTCCAGGTGATTGCCATCCTGAAGGTCTTGTCCACCCACGTTGAAGAGGAGCAGTACCTAGGCGAAGACGAGTGGACAATTAATGCCCATGGAAAGAACAAAGGTCTGATTCAAGACATTGGAGAAGGTATTGAAGATGTGATCGATAGCATCAAAAATATCTTCTGGCATAAACCCGCCGGGGCTTCGCAGGCGGCTGACGCCGAGAAGGATTTACAGAAGAAGTTCAAAAAGTTCAGTGACAGCGTTAGTGCACTAGAGAAGACGATCGAACACCGAAACAAGGCGGCCCGGTCGTTGCCATGGAGCAACAGAATCGGCTATAGCAAGTTGGAATATACACTTCTCCTCCCCCAATCCAAGGCTGGCATGACGGGCATGGGGGTTCCATACAGTACCTCCATCTAATGCCCTACCGATTCCAAAATCTCCTAGCACCTGATTATCGATCAAGACTGTAGATGTAACAATTTTACTGAAGCATCTACGATCTAGGACTGCATGTACTATCTCCGAGGTTTCCATCTTCTATAGAGGGAGAAATTTTGTACTCACTTCCTTGTTCATTGAAATAAATTCATCATATGCCAATTCAATAAATTCACCAAATCAAATATGCCAGCCTCGTAACGTATGGAAATTCCCATAATTACCTAAATTAATTTAGATTATGGATTTTAATTTTGTTAGTTTTGGCATTTACTCAAAAAAACATTCTATTACTCGATTCTAGGTAGATCTGAGTTCCATCAATTGTGTGTGAGATATATAAGAGAGTTAGATGATAAACATAGTAAGCAATATTTGCAAAACAAAAATCATCTTTGATTAATTTTCATAAAAGCTCAACTTTTCATTTCATTCATCGTTAGTAATCTGAATTATGACAATGGTCAGTATTCCTATCCAAGGTGTGTGTATGTTCACCGGAAGTTCACAATGCTCCCCATCTGTTATTGATTCAGAACAAAAAGCATCAATTCAACACAAATATCGTGCACAAGTCACTGACCAGATCTATGATATAACAAAACTATACGGCTGAGAGTGTACAGTTTGTAATTGCTTGACGGTAGAATTGGTCACTTTCTGAGCTGTCAAAGCGAGAGCTCTGAAAACAATTACTCAATCCTTCCGGCGCAAAAAATGAGAACCAGTTGTATAGTACAATTTTCATTAGAGATATATTATAAGGTCCATTCTCAATGTCTTAGCACCCATGCGATAATTCAATTCACAAAAATCACCAGATTTGCCTCCTTCTTACCTCACTCAATCTAAACTACTCCACTCAATTCAAACTATTGAACGAAATGTCATAGAAAGATACATTATCGAAATTATTAAACCAAGCAATCAAACAAAACTGAAAAATAGCCTGCATCAAAACACAGAATTGCACAAGATCCATAATACTTGCTATCATACATGTGCATCCAATTTGACTAATTAGAATTACCATTCATGTGAAACTTAACATTCCACACTAAAATCTTACAAAAGCAGATCAAACGCAATTGAAATTTTATAAATCCATATGAATTCAACCTTTACTCATCTTAACTAATTCACAAGGCATTACTTGAGGCGTTACATCCATTCAAAATCGATCCTGAATGTCTCTTTTTGCTTTAACATTACAAATGCTTTCAACTAATTGGAATTTGTAATAAGCAACTTCCTTCACAATTCTCATACTTTCACCTAAAATCATACTATAAATTAAATTTTGGACGCAAGATCTTTGATCATGAATGTGAAAAATTACATTCTTTACTTTAATCCATCATTATCCACGTTGGTAATACTCATCATTCGCCATCACCATGTAGACAATATTGGTTCCATTTTTTTGAATTACTAACATTGTGGTACTCCACTTTTGGTAATTTTGAGGAAATTAAAACATTTTTGGAAAACTCTACCACGGCAGCAGTGTAAATAGCCTTCGGTGCATCAAAACAGAGTGAATTCGGAAGATCGCAAAGATTCTCGAGGGACCTCTGAGAATCTAGGAGTTGGGTGTAGCGTCAAAGAAGGGCACCACCCTCCCTGCGAGCTCTGCAGGTAGGATCCCTAAGGCGCAAGGCGCAAAATCCGCCTTCGGCGCTGCGTCCGCGGCGGTAGGGAAATCCTTCATATTTAGGTCAACCCCCAAACGTCTTGACTTAGTTAGGGTCTCGTTAGAAAGAGCTCGACGCGCTGATTCTAACGAGCCCAAGAACGCCACAAACGGATGAGGACTCCGGGATTTATGAGGGTTGTAAGATACTAAGTTTTCCGCCTGTGCACAGGCGAAGATGTTTTGTCCTATGCGCGGACGAAGGAAGTTCACCTGCGCACAGGCGAAATAGGGTTTTGATGTAGGCGCAAAGTTCGCCTACGCACAGGCGTCCGCCTGTGCACAGGCGCTTCGGCGTCTGCGGGAAATCCGCCTTTGGCCGTAGAAATGCGCCTTGGGAGGTAGAAATTGTACGGCGCCTTCTGCGCCAGCGCAACGGCGCGGACGAGCAAGGAGCCGCCAGAATAGTAAAATCCGTACGGACCGTACAGACGGGACGGATGGATGCGCTCTTGGTCGGACGGAGTTGCGGCGGCAAGAGCGCCGACGGAGAGACAAGGAACGGACAGTCTGGACGGAGTCGGTTGACCGCGGTCAACGCCTTCCGCGCCAGCGCATCGACGCGGACGGACTTCGCCTGCGCACAGGCGGGTGAAGTTCCGCGCCGGCGGAAAATCCGCCGAGGAGTCCGCCTGCGCACAGGCGGGTGTAATAACCCACCAAAGGCTAAAACTGCAGTATGGTGGTAAAAAGATCGAACCCACAGGGACAGAGGCAACATACAGAGTAAAAGTGTCACGTTTAACAGACTTTTGTAGAGTTTGAATTCTCAGGCGACTGTCACTCCCAGAAATACTGCAGTGCTCGACTCGGAGGCTCGACTCGGAGGAGGATGCTCGACTCGGAGGATGCTCGGAGGATGCACAGTATAGCGTAGTCACTCAACACACACACACACACACACCTGAAACTGGCAAAAGCACAACTCGGAGGTCGGTCAGGACCTCCGCTTCGGATTTCAGGGTGAAAGTGTCTCAAAAATTCACTCAGAGGTTCTGCAGGTAGTGACTCCCACTCCGGCTTTTACTGCCCTTCCGCCAGGAACTAGCGTAGGGAACCCGGACTGGACTTCCCACTTCAGAACGAAGCCCCTTCATACGCCGTGGACGTCACCCTCGACTCACACCAACCGCAGGGGGTACAGGCCCGACTGAGGACTTAACTGAGACACAATCCAGTAACACACACACACAACCTGAATTGCAAACCAAGGCTTACACGAAGTAATAAAACTTCACTTTGGCATTCAGGGGAAACTTCCCGTAGGAGTACAATCAGGATATGTCACTCGAAGGAGTAAGGGGGAACTGTTCAAGTCTCTAACTCGCAGCTGGCTCTGAGCATCAGAAATCACCCGCAGGTGCAGATCCGCACTACTCAAGTCTCTAACCGGGTACTAGCTCTGAACATTCAGCCGAAGGCCTTCAACTACAACATACGGTAACTTCGCTATGCTGCAGCTTCTCTACGTGGTGCCAGGACCAAAATGCACAAACACGCCAAGAAAGTGAGTTCCTGATCTGCACTTCCGAAACTGGAAGAGTCCCAGGGCAAAACGCCTTGAACTACTTTATACTCTCTAAGGTCCTAACTAACACTACCCTATTCTATCTGCTACTCGCAACACCTGCACGAAACCAAACTACGCTACTGCACTCTGCAGATCCGGTGCTGCGCCTCCTGCGCGCCGGACTGCCTCGCTCTCTATCTCTACCTTGCCAATCTTCCGACCGGCTGCGCAACCCCAGACGCCGGAGGGCTGCAGTCACTTCCGACTCCAAGTGCGCCATAGTGTCGCGCGCACCCGACAAGAAGGATTTTAATTTCCTCGCTACTCGCCGCCGACTCCGACTGTCATCCTCCGTCAATGCCGCCGCCCGAAGCTCGAACTCCCTGAGTGTGATCTTCTCTTGAGCTGCCACCTCCCAATGGGCGTATCCTTTTAGACAGTGAGTCACCCGCGTCGCCAACTCTTCTCGCGCCCGGCAGCTGCCTTCCACCTCTGCTAGCTGCATTTCCGCATCTGCGCGCTGCGCCCTCAAATCCGCACACTCGGATTGCAAGTTGCGCAACAACTCCTCATCCTCCTTGCGTGTATTTTGACTTTCTTCTAAGGCGCGCTTCTGGCGCGCAAGCTCTTCTGCTAAGATGCGGTTTTGTCTCCGCTCTTCCTGCAATTCCGACTCGATCTTTGCCCGTATTAGCTCGGCATCCGCCTGGTTTTTCGTCGCCGCATCCTCCCTCTGCTGCTGCAAGGTTTGGTATAGCTTCTGTGTGACCGCCAGGTGTTGTCAGAGGGTGGTGTTCCTATCCTGCAATATTTGGCACCTAGAGGCCCAAGTGGCCACCTTGCTCCTCGTCCTTCGCTTGACAGTCTCCACGTAAGACTGCGGTTTTCCGGTACCCGAGTACTTGGATGTCTTGCGATCCAGATATCGCAGGAGTGGAACTATCTGCTCGCACAACACCCCTGTTGGCGTTTTCTGCACAGAATCCGCTTCCTGCTCTTCCGAGCTCGTCTCATCCTCAGTTTCGAGGATTTCAGTCGCCACTGAATCCCTTGGCGACTCCCTGGAACTGTGGCGCGCAGCAGCTTCCGCCGCGACTGCCGCTCCACTCCCTACTAAAATATCCAAGGCAGTGGGGGATCCCACTGCTTGAGCTCCTGTTCCGGCTCGATCTTCGGTCTCCGAAGAGGTCGACGCCGCAGTGACTTTTGTCACCTTTGCACCGCCCGCTTCTGCTGCCTGTCCTTCCGGCGCGGTCTGCGCGGAAGGTGTCTTCGCTGGAGGTGCGTCCGCCGAAGGCGTCCGCACACTGGTCGCCGGCCCTGTCCGTCTCGCAGTCGGCGAATCTGGCCGACTCTCTGTTGACCGACTCGCAGTCGGCCGACTAGCATTGGGATACAACCTGCGCGTCTTCACTCCACTTGGCCTGCTTGCTGGCGGCGTTTTCCCATAAGTGCCTTCCGCCGAAGACGACCCTCTGAGGGTTGTTGGCTCGTCAGCCAAACTCTCTTCTGCTTCCGGCCTGCTGTCCAGTTCAACGCGCCGCTCCGTCGGCCTTCCTTCCGTTTGTCGACCTTCAGTCGCCCGACTCGTAGTCGGCCGACTGTCAGTCCGTCCGTCTTCTTCCGAAGGCATTGGTGCCTTCTGCGCAGAGGTATTTGCCGACTTCCCCAGAATCTGCGCGATTATATCCTCCTGCGTGGGCAGGATACTCCGCCGGACCGGAGTACACCCGGTCTCCTCACTACTAGTTGGCATTTTGCGTGCCCTCTATTTTGGTCGGCTGTGAGGCTCGTTGGTTGGCCGACTACGAGTCGGCGCAGCTGGCGCTTCCGGCTGCCTGTCCTCAGGTCTCTCATCCCACTTCCGCTTTCGCGGAATGCGCTCACTCCGACGTTCTTCTGCTGCTCTTGCTGGGGGCGGAGCCGGAGGCAGATTGGCAGGTGCCTCGTCCGGATCCGTGTCTACTTCGGCCTCCCGCGAG